AGAAGTTTAATAAATATTTCATATACAGTAAACGCTACGTAGCAAAAACCTTTAAATTGTTTTAGGCTTACACATATATATATAAATTTATATAAATTTATATTGCTCAAATAATACGTTATCCGTTTATAGTACGCATAAATTCTCTAAATAAATATAAGCCTAAAAATAAATATAAACTTCGAAATATGTCATAATAATTAAAATAAATATAATGTTCATAAAAAATAATAAAAATTCTAAAGTTTTAAGTGACTACTAATTGTTAAGCCATCAAATTTACTCTAGTTCATATCAACTATAGATAATAAGTTGGCTGATTAATATCATTTACAAAAGTTTAAAATATAGAATAAAAATATAAAGTTTAAATGATGTGTTAAAAATTTAGCTTGGTATATAATTAACAATAAATTCAATTAATTAACTGCATTACGGTTATCAATGTTAAACAATAATTTATTAGTTTTTATAATTAATAATATAAACATTTGTGTTAAAATGTTAATACAAAAAATGATTAAGTTGTTTGTAACAAGCACACTTAAATAAAATTAATTTTATTATAATCCGACACATATTTTTTGCACCCAAATATTAATTTATTACTTTACCCATAAAGTAATTAAAATTTTTAAATCCTATTCACAGTATATCTCAATAAATACTACCCAATAACCTTGATTAGTTTAAGCAATACCTATAATAATACAGTGTAATATAACTTCAATGTCTATTAGCACATGTTACTCAAGTTAACATGCACTTAAAATAAATGTTATAGTAATTTATCATGATACTTATCAAGGTTGGACATTTTGAAAATAAATCACATATGATTAATTACCATGTTTATTTCCGATTAGGTCATAGTTATAGTATATAAACCGCAAACAAAACACTGAAATTTTATTAGTTCACCAAATACAATTTTATTAATAAAATATAAAATAATATTTCGTATAAACATAATATTATTATACTGTTTAAAAATGAAATTGTTATTGTTAGCAATTGTGTTGTATACCACGGTGATTTTAGCCTATAGCCGTGATATAATACCATCGACCCGTGTAATTGGTGGTCATAATGCCGCTTTAAGCGTGGCACCATGGCAAATTTATATGAAGTTACCAACTAGTCTGCCAGACAGCAATGGATTTGTTCAATTTGAACAATGTGGTGGGTCATTGCTCAATAAGGACTGGGTACTCACTGCTGGCCATTGTTGTCAACCGTAAGTAATAAAACAGTGTTTATTAACCATAGGCCTTAAGTATAATAATAGTTGCATTTTGAAAACAGTAGCATATTATTTAAATTATGTTAAATAGGGATTAATATTATAACTACTTTAATATCTGAACCTGGTTTACATTAATAATTCAAGTTATCGATTATGTTAATATTTATTTATTTTAATTTTATTTATATTTTTGCTGTTAGAGTCCCAATAGGCTTACATGCTGATATAAGTTACGGTGGTACAAATGTAAACAACATGCCGTTTAATACGACATCGTCTAAAATAGTAGTTCATCCCCAATACGATCCGGCAATCTTTGCGCATGATTTTTGCCTGATTAAACTGACTGACCCTGCCCCACAAAGTGACACGGTACGGTACGCCACCCTGGCCACTAGCTATCCACCCGCTGGTACCAAGGCTATTGTCACCGGTTGGGGCTATACTAATGGCACAGACGACACCTCCCTTGCTACAAATTTGCAATCTGCTGAATTAACCGTTATTGATCAGGCTACCTGTGCCCGGTATTGGTTGCCATTGGGCGACCCGATTCACAATTACCAGTTATGCACCCAAAATAAGGACAAGAGTTTTTGTTCAGTTAGTATCAAGCACACTATGTTTAATAGTTTAAATTATTAATTTTTTTTATAATATATCAAAATGATTGCTTAAACATTGCATACATGTATTTGTTTCGTACTGGATAACTTTGTAGTTGCCATAGAAAAGAATATTAGAAAACATGCATGTTGATATTTTATAAGTTATGATCAAGGTTTTATTATATGATGTATTTTTATATTTACGCATTTTAATTTAACCAGGGTGATTCCGGTGGTGCATTAACAGTGAATGGTCAATTGGTGGGAGTAGTATCATTTAATAAAGTAGGCTGTCCACTCGGAGCTCCTTATGTTTACGGATTCGCACCGGCAGTTAAATCGTGGATCGAGTCAACTATGATAGGTCACCCGGATACTAATCATGAGCTCCCTAGTAATAACCATTTTAGTTTGCAAAATCTTTTATCAGATTTTCTAGGTTAATTTGATAATCACTTGGTAAATCATAATTTAAAATGTTTTCAATATTATTAAAGGATCATGAATGGAAATTGTTTACTAAAAGTAAAATAAAGTTAAAATTTGATCGAGCATAAATAGTTTTTGAATTTATCACTTTATCATAACATTCATTCAATCACATTAAATAAAATTTAATGTTTTACAAATATTATATTTTAAAAACTATTGATTATTCATCTATAAACAGTTATATAACTTGCATTTGCACCATTGTAATTATAATGTTAATTATGTAATATCATTTTTTTAATTGCTATAATTTTATTAATTATTATTTTTATCAAGTAATTTTATTATGTATTTTTAATTTTTGTACAATCTTGGCATAATTAGCAGTTATATTATTTCCATAACTATACATCTTATATTTAATTAAAAATACAATTAACTCTATAATAATAATATGTAAGTTAGCGAGACGATTTTATGATTCCATCTAAAGTTTGTTAATAACTAAAAATAATTAAGACAATTTATTAGTTTAGGCAAATTAATTATTGTTTAAATATCTTTTATATTTATTAAGGTACTAATAACCATAATAAATGGGTCTATTAATTAAATTTTGCAATAACTTCATTAACATTATTACTAATTAATTTTTAAATATAACCAGCCTAATAATTCAGGATTTTACTCAAGGATTAAACATATTCACAATTATTATAAATAATAATTTAACCGAGTTTAAAACTAATTAAATGTGCTGTTATTTTAAGTGCAATGTACACTGTTAATAACAACAATTCATTAATTTAAAACATTAGACTTTGCAATGAGAGCCAGATATAGACCCTGATAACACAATTGTGTTCAATTGATTTATTTAAGTCTAGCCAAATAAATGGCAAGTGTTAACTATAAATTAAATGTATTTTTAACTTTTAAAACAATTAAGATATAAAGGCAAATTGATTCATTAATCAATTGTCATATATAAACCGCATCTGGTCTAACTGAACATACTCATTTTATAATTATATACTGTATAGTTTACTTCTAACTACTATAAAAATCATATACATTCCTAAACTTACCTATTTGTTAAAAAAGTATAATACTAGTAAACATCGACATTTTATTATAATAAACCATTTAATAAAATACTTTGTTAAAATATAAGCCAAATATAAAAATTTAAAACTAATAAATTAGCAATCAATTAAAAGATAATATTGATTTTGAAAACAAACTTATTTACAGTATAATATTATAGACTTACAGTATATCACGTTAAAGTCAAAATACACATGCTACTTTAAGTTATCACGCATTAAAACACTGATATAATGCATTTAATACAAAATTATTTTAATAGTAAACAATATTATTAATACTTTATATTTATAAAATAAGTAAAAAAACTTAAAATAAGTGCTATTATGATTATTGTAAATATTTATCCAGTAAACAATCATCATTCATAATTCGTGTTTATTATATGTCATAAATATTTTATACAAATAATCAATGATTAATATAAATATATATTTCATAAGCATTCATTATTCATGTAATCGTACTTATTCTGTCATATTTATCGTATATAAGCCGGGCACAAAATTCTAAAACTTTATTACTTCACTAGAAAGAGTTTTATTAATAAGAATTTAATATTATATTAATTATATTATATTATATTATTAATAATATAACAGTATTTTCAAAAATGAAATTGTTACTGATAACCATAGTTTTATTGACCACGTTGCTTTTAGCATACTGCCGCGATATATTGCCCTCATCCCGTATAGTTGGTGGTTCTAATGCCCGTCCAGAGATAGCACCATGGCAAACATTTGTGAAGTTTCCCCATGAAGTTACTAGTGATGAGAAATGGATATGGACACATTATAAAGATTGTGGTGGCTCATTTCTCAGAAAGGACTGGGTGCTCACTGCTGCCCATTGTTGCGAGCCGTAAGTAATTTTAGTAAATAGATTAGATTTATCATAAAATATTATTTGAAAACATATTTGAGTTAATTAATTATAGATAGCTCAATGTTTTTCTATGCAATTCTAATTTTATAAATGCTATGTTTGAATATGCGGCAAATAATTATATCTGTGTTTAACCTGTTTAAATATTAACAAATAAATAGTTGATTAAAAACTGAAACTAGTTTGACCTGTCCTCTATGAAACATTATATTACATTAACATTACAAGTTGACTAGGTTGTTAAATAGTCCTATATATAATAGCATAAGAGTATACTCTACTCAATGGGATTGTACTTTGTTAGAGTCGTTTAACAATACAAAACTAAAATTAATATTTTGCTATAATATGTTTAAATTTAGATTATTTATTTATAATGCATTAGTTATAAGTAGACTTCAAACAATAAAAGTGATTTTTTATCATATATTTATTTCATTAGACTTCTACCGGGTCATGACGCGATTGTAAAGTACGGTGGCACTAATACACAGAATATGTCGTCTACTACATCTACAAAAGTGATCAAGCATCCACATTATGACAAGAAAACAGCCGACCACGACTTTTGCCTGGTCAAACTGGTAAAGCCTGTTGAACTAAGTGACACGGTTATGGTCATTCCCATGGCATCTAGCTACCCTAGCAATGAGACCATAGCGATTGCAATGGGATGGGGCAGGACTGATGGCAACAATGAGAAATCGACATCTCCAGTTTTACTAGAAGCTGAATTGAATATATTGGATCGGGATACATGTGTCGAGAAATATAAATTTGGTGGTGATCGTCCAATACACAATGACCAGATATGCACCAATACTATGGGTAAAAGTATTTGCCAAGTAAATAACTGGAACAATTTTGTACTAGTGATAAACAATTATAAATATAATGCGTGCTTATAAATATTATAAGTATTTTAATTATATTTGTATTTTATTTTTTTGCCAGGGTGATTCTGGCGGACCATTAACCGTGATGAATGGCACGATTCGTGAATTAGTAGGAGTGGTATCGTTTGTTCAAACTGGTTGTCCCAAGATTGGGTTGCCTAATGTTTACGGATTTGTGCCCAAGGTGAAATCATGGATATTAGCAACTATGAACGAGCAACCGGATGCCCATAAAGTACGAGATAATAAATTATCAGATGATACTCTACCAGAAGATAAAGTACCCGGTGATAATGTGCCAGTCCATAATAATTTAAACAATAATTTCCTAAATGACTTTAAATCGGAATTCCCTCCATTTTCCTTCCCAGGCTTCTCTAACTAATGACAGATTTTTAATGTCTGCAAAATTATAAACGGATCTTGATTATGTATTTTCCATGAATTAAATACTATTAAACTTTAAAAAGCATATTTTTGTTGTTTTGTAAAATTAACTAGTTACTGGTAAATAGCAATAAGTATTAATGTTTTCTGAGTTAAAGTTTTTGTTGTATAGATATTACAAAAATTTTAATTTTTTATTTTAAAGTTCTTTTAACAGACATTTTGTTTAATAATTTATTCGTGTTTTAATTGGATTACATTGGGTTTATATGATATAGTACAGAATATAGCTGTAAAACAGAGGTGTCCAGACATTATTTATTTATGTTTTTACAGTTTATCAATTTTAGAGTCAATCATAATTAACGTTATATTATTGTACAATTTTTATAATCCCATTCATTATAAGTAATTATGAATCCCTACTCAAACTTGTGTATTTATGGTTAAATTTTAATAAAATGATTACAAGTACTGCAATAATGCCCATTATACACCTAAACACTAATACAGTATTATTCAAGAAGTATAAATATTATATAAATGTATATTAATATTGTTTTAATTATACAAATATACCGTATTATTCGAATACACACATATTTTGAATAAATTTTAAATTAAAAATTATATTTAATAATATTCTAAATTACCAAGGTGCCAATAATCATTATAAAAATATCTATTAATTAGATTTTGTAATAACATCATTAACATTATTACTAATTAATTTTAAAATATAACCTGCTTAATAAATCATGATTTTACTAAATGATTAAACATATTCACAATTATTATGAATAATAATTTAATCGCGTTTAAAACTAATTAAATGTGCTGTTATTTTAAGTGCAATGTACACTGTTAATAACAACAATTCATTAATTTAAAACACTAGACTGCAATGAGAGCCAGATATAGACCCTGATAACACAATTTTGTTCAATTGATTTATTTAAGTCTAGCCAAATAAATGGCAAGTGTTAACTATACATTTATTGTATTTTTAGCTTTTAAAACAGTTAAGATATACAATCAAATTGATTCATTAATCAATTGTCATATATAAACCGCATCTGGTCTAACTGAACATACTCATTTTATAATTATATACTGTATCGTTTACTTTTCACTACTACATAAATAGACTGTATATAAATCATGTACATTCCTAAACTTACTTGTTAAAAAAAGTATAACACTAGTTAGCATCTACATTTTATTATAATAAACCATATAATAATGTTCTTTGTAAAAAATATAAAGCAATTATAAAAAAAACTTAAAACTAATATATTAAGCAATCAATGAAAATATAATATTGTTTTTAAAAACAAACTTATTTATAAAATTATATACTTTCAGTATATCACTTTAAAGTCAATATAAACATGTTACTTTAAGTGATCACGTGTTAAAACACTCATATAATGCATTTAATACAAATTATTTTAATAGTAAACAATAGTATTAATCCCTTATACTTAAAAAATAAGTAATAAAAAACTTAAAATAACCACGATTATGATTAATACAAATATTTATCCAGTAAACAATCATTATTCATTATTCGTGTTTATTGTATGTCATAAATATTTTATATAAACCGCACATAAAAACAATGCAAAGTTAATTATTAAACCAGATAACATTTTATAAATAAAATATAAAATTATACTTGGTATTAATATTAAACTATAATTTAATAATGAAATTTTTATTTTTACTAATAGTATTGCTGACCATGTTGCATTTGGCATATTGCCGTGAGATAATACCATCAACCCGTGTAATTGGTGGTCAAAATGCAAATTTAAAAGAAGTACCATGGCAAATCTATTTGTATTTTATGGCAAGGGAAGAAGTTATTACCGTGACCACGACCAATACGACCACGACATATACTCGGACATCGGATATTACTGATATTAGCACATCGACTCGTACTGCACAATCTGTCCATGGTCAAAGTTGTGGGGGAGTATTGCTCAGTGAATACTTTGTGCTCACAGCTGCCCATTGTTGCGTCAAACCGTAAGTTATAAATCTATAATATTTTTTATACATTGTTGACCCAGGTTGGCAAATGTTTATTATTAATTTTTTAAAATTTTAAATTTATTCTGACTAGATTTTAATTTTTAGCATCACCATAATTTTTTTTGTTTTAAACTATTATAATAGATTTTTTTTGTTAAAATTAAGTAATATTAGATTGTTCTAAACTTAAATAACTTTACAAACATAGATTTAATTATAAAATATTTATATTATAAATTTATAATAATAATATTAATAATAATATTTATAAAATTAGACGGGAACTGGGTCATAAGGCGATAATAAAGTACGGCGGCACCAACCTAGATAATATGCCGTTTAGCACTACATGGTCCGGAGTGGCTATCCATCCACTTTATAACAACCCAAAAGAATATGCGTACGACTTTTGCTTGATCAAAATGGTCGACCCCGTGAAAACACTAAGTGACCAGGTACAGTACGCTAAGCTGGCCACTGACTACCCACCAAACGGGACAAAAGCGTTTGTCAGCGGTTGGGGTAAGACTGATGGCAAAGATGAAAAGTCAACGGCAAACGAATTGCAACATGCTCAATTGACCATCATCAATCTGGAGGAATGCGAAAAGGACTGGTCGGACATAGGCAGTGACCAGATATGCACCAAATCTATAGATACAGGTACTTGTAATGTTAGTATCTCGTACAATTTTAAATATCATACATGCTTATAATATAATATCTATTTTTAACCAGGGTGATTCCGGTGGACCACTTACCATTGAGTCTAGTCGTGAAGTGGTGGGAGTGGTGTCATACGGAGAAAGATTTTGTCCGTTTGGAGTACCTATAGTTTATGGATATATACCGGCAGTAAGGACCTGGATAAAAGACATTGCTAATATGTAAGTTTGTACTAATACATTATAAGCTGTTTGCCAAATTGCAATGGATATTTTCAAATATTATATATTAATTTAAATTTTTGATAAATTATAAATTGATCCTGATTATGGATTTTCTAAAAATTAAATAAAATTACTATTTTAAAAATAATATAAGTTTTGTTTATTATTTTTCATAATTTACTAGTTAACTATCAATAGATATTAGTGTATTTTGAGTTATAGTTTCAAATAACCTTTGTAATTAAATTTTATAAAAAATAATTTATTTATTTTACATTTACAGAGATTTTTGTTTTTTTAATTGAATTTATTTTTATTTGACTAACTATTAGTTCACAATATATAAATAATAGCTGCCCTCATATTGCATAATATTTATTTATTCAATAATATGTGATTGATACAACTTGTATTAATATAATAAATTATAAAAGCTAGCTCATTCTGGGTTAGCTAAGCGTGTAGTTAATGATAACATGTATTTAATTAACATTGTCAAAGTTATTACTTATTTTATAGTGATTAACTAAAAGTGATTTATTTGAAAGTCAAGACTAGCAACTTATGGATCAGGTAGTTTAGGGAAATTACCTTTTTTAACTTATTTTTTACTAAATTTTATTTTTGAAATAACATTGTGTCTATCAGACAGAAATATCCCATAAAGCAATTTTAAAACTATTGCCCATATATTATATT